ATAGGATACGAATGGACTGCAAACCACAAGGTTGGCAGTTCAAATCCATCAGTTGCTCCATGGAAATCCTATATAGGATCTCTATGAGTCAGAACGGCCTCAACGACACTTAACAACAACAATCCCATCACTTGATGGGAATTAAGAAGAGTTTAGAGAGAAAAGCCATATCCAGTAAATTCACAGTATCACACTGGTCATAAAGTTTCTCTTTATGATTAAAGGGTATCCATATCTATTAGTGCAGTCCTGGTGTGGCGCTGTGGTCTAATGCATTAGACTGCAAAGTTGTTTGAACTGCAAAGTTGGTGGTTCAAGCTCACCAGCTACTCCTTGAAAACTCTATACAGGGTCACTATGGGTCAGAATCAACTTGATGGCACTTAACAACAACATATCTATTACTGCTTCATTTTTCAATCACTAAGAGCACCTCTTGGAGTTACTACCTTTAAAACCCTCTCTCATATTGTTTAACTTACTTGGGATTTCTTCCCTTAATTCTTACAACCCATTCCAGCAGTGTAAATACTCAACCTGTTAGTATTAGTTTTAATATATATTTAGTGGCCTCACTGACCCTTTGTATAGTGCCAGTGTGAACATGGTCTTTCATTCTCTTCTAATATCTTTGGAAAATGTCATTCAGTTTATTTTCATAAATTTCAGTTAGACTTTCAAGTGTTACTTTTAAAAAAAAAAACTTTTATTGGAAGTTGGATGGCGATTTATAGAGCAGATCATCAATTTTCCATTTGGTAATTCATACACATTTTGTATCATCCCATTGATTCCTATCCCCTCAAAGTAGCATCACTATCTCACTTCCTCTGTTGTTTGCATTCCTTTTATTTTTTAACAAATACTGGCCACCCTGCTGGCCCTTCCTTTCCCCCCAAGCTCAATGGTTGCTCATTTCTTATTCATTTCATAGTGCAGCTCCAGGTGGTTCCCTTGAACTTAACCCATTCTACATCCCAGATCTTTATCTTTAACTGCCCTGGGTTGTTCTTATTATTAATTGCTATCCTATCAAGTCAGTTCTGACTCATAATGACACTGTGTACGGTTCCTGAGAACAGCTTGGTGGGTTTGAACTGCCGACTTTGTGGTTACCAGTGCAGTGCTTATCCTACCACTGCATACTAGGGCTCCCTTGGGTTGGGTAACTATAATTAATAACCACCTGCAGATTTCTTTGAAAAGCAGCTTTGCTTAATTACAAAGCTGTTTCCAGAAACTGACAAGAAAGGGTTCCTTAAGATCTGGTAGTGTCAACACTTGGAAATTATGTTTTCATTGATCTTTATTTGTTTGTGATTTTGTGCTATGATTATTACTTTTATGCTAGTTACAGACTGCTAGCAAGGAAACCAAGCTATAAATAGCCTTTGTTTATTGCAAATTCTAGAAAAATCCTCAGCTTTAAGAAAGCTGTAAAAGTCAGGCTATTTTTATATAGCCTGTTATAGTTAGGTGCCATAGAGTTCATTCTGACTCACAGTGGCCCTATGCACAACAGAACAAAACACTATCTGGGTGTAAACCATCCCCACAACTATTATGTTTGAGTTAATATTTTGTGGCAACTTGTCTTGGTCAGGATTCCCAGTGGCTTAGCAGTTAAGAGATAGTTATCACCTCCATGATGAGCTATAATATAATGCAGTGATTTCCATGATGTGATCTGATATGATCAGTTCTGATCTGACCTAATTATCCTTTGTGTTGTAAATCCTCACTTCTATAATGCTAATGAGGTTGCCTGCAATCTACAAGATTAGGGTGCATCTTAAGTCAATGTCTTTTAGATATAAAAGAAGAGAGAAGTAAGCTGAGCTCAGAGTGACCCACTACCACCAAGAAAGAAGAGTCAGGAATGGAGTGGATGCTTTTCACCTGGGATTCCTGTATTGCGAAGCTCCTAGATCCAGGGAATGACTAATATGAAGACATTTGGAGATCGCCAAGAAATGCTGGGTCTACAGATGCTGACAGAGACAAGGACCTTTTTCCCAGAGCCGGTACTCTGAATTCAGATTTCTAACATCCTAAACTGTGATAATAAATTTCTGTTAAAGCCATCAACTTGCAGTGTTTCTGTTATAGCAGCTCTTGAGTAGTAAGACACAGCTGCTGTGCCAATCCATCTCCTTGGGGGTCTTCTTCTTTTTCACTGATCTGCTCCTTTGCCAAGCATGATATCCTTTACCAGGGACAGATCCCTCCTGATAACATGTCCAAAGTATTTATGATGAAGTCTTCCATCCTAGCTTCTAAGGAGCGTTCTGGCTGCACTTCTTCCAGGACAGATTTGTTTGTTCTTATGAAAGTCCATGGTATTTATAATATTTTTCTTCAACATCATCCTTTAAATTGCATCAGTCTTCTATAATCTTCCTTCTTAACTGTCTACCTTTCACATGCATATGAGGCTATTGAAAATATGATGGCTTGAGTAAGATGCACTTTAGTCCCCAAACTTATATCTTCGCTCTTGAACACTTTTAAAGAAGTCTTGTGCAGCAGATTTGCCTAATGCAATATGTCATTTGATTTCTTGACTGCTGCTTTCATGAGTGTTGATTTTGAGTCCAAATAAAATGAAATCTTATTTAGCAATGGATGTTCACAGTCCATTCTGTGTAATTGCATTTTTTCAGGCAAGTTAAGATTAAAGTCCACTTAAAAGCAATGCCTCTTGGCCATAAGCATTAATCTAGGCAATCTTTTAAGAATTTCAAACTGATTTTATATAAATATCATAATGGCACCACACCATGGACTGTCAGAAGAATAAATAAATCTGTTTTGGAAGATGTACAACTAGAATACTCCTTAGAAGTGAGGATGGAGAGACTATGTCTCTTGTACTTTGGACATGTTGTCAGGAAGGACCAATGCCTGGAGGAGGACATGATGCTTGGTAAAGCCAAGGGTCAATGAAAAAGAGGAAGAGATGGTTACAAAATGAGATGGCTACAAGCAAATATGTGTTGGAAAAAGTACAGCCAGAATGCTCCTTAGAAGCCAGTATGACCATAATTTGTCTGTCAAACTTCAGATATATTATCAGGAGGAACCAGTCCCTAGAAAAGGACATCATGCTTGGTAAAGTCAAGGGTTGGTGAAAAGGAGGCAGACACCCCCCTCCCCACTCACCCCAAACCCTTTCAACCCCCCAACAAGATGGATTGGCACAGTAGCAGTAGCAATGGGTTCAAGAGTAGCAATGGCTGTGTTTGGTGCAGTACCCTACAGTGTCTCCTTCTGTAATGCATAAGATCCCTATGAGTCAGTACTGACTCAATGGTACCTAAAAACAACTGGTCACCTGATATTAACTCAAAAGTCACCCTCAGGACTCGGGGATTTTTTTTTTTGTTATAGTGTGTGGGGGGGTGGGGATGGGGGGTGTGTTCAAACTTCCCAGCCTCTCAAAGGGAGAAAGATGGCAGATAGATATTATAGACTGTCTTATAGGTCGCTATGGAGTCCTGGTGTTGTGCTGTGAGTTAATGCGCTGGACTGCAAAGTTGGTGTGAACTGCTAGGTCGGTGGTTCAGGCTCACCAGCTTCTCCTTGGAAACCCTATACAGCGTCACTATGGGTCAGAACCGACTCAGTGACACTTAACATAGCAACTTAACAACATAGTTCGCAATGAGTCAGCATCAACTTGATAGAAAGAATTATGGGACTCAAGGACTGCATTTTCTACCTTGGCAGACCATGTCAGGACAACCAGTGTATCAAGTGCGGACTCTCTCACGCAATTTCTCCTCACCTCACCCCATCCAATATCACCTTTTATTTTAGAAGGTAGGCAGGGGCCATGTTTTCCTTGAAGTGAGAGTTGCCAGGTGTATTTCTTTCATTATGAAAGCTCAGAATTAAGTCATGCTTTTCAGCTGCTTGTTGGATGATTTATTCTGATAAGTGGAAGCAATAAGGAAAAAAATTCGTGGAAAACTTCCATTGCCTTTTAATTTTTACGCGAACTTTTTTGAAGTTCTCTGGTACATACTGGTATACGTATGTATGTTCGTATCACGACCAGGGATGCCAACAAAACAAAGAACCAAGTAAAATTCTTCCTCACTGCCTAACTCCTGACCCACCTGGAAAGAAACAGTGCAGACAATTTAAGGCAATTTAAAGCGATAGCTTCTGCTTGTACACGCAAAGGAGAAAAGTGCTCATAAATCTGTCCTTTAAATCTGTTTACTGTTTATCTGCATGCCTCAATAATTAGAAAGGAGCTCTGGTAGTGTAATGGTTACGAATTGGGCTGCAAACCACAAGGTCAGCAGTAAAACTACTAGCTGTTCCACTGGGGAAAGATGAGGCTTTCTGCTCCCATAAAGAATTACAGCCTCGGATACCATGTTTAGGGTCGCTATGGGTCGGAACAGACTGATAGCACTTAACAACAACAACAATAATTAGAGAGTAAGGAATGACAAGTTCACTGGGGCTTTACTTCAGCCACAGAGTGTCACACTCAAAGGGAGATTTAATTTGAATATTGAGAGCCATTCAGTATGCTTTCTTGCATGGAAAGCAACTATGCCAGGGAAACCCAAATGTCACCTTGACCCAGACACAAGCAACTAGCGTGGTCCAATTTCTCTAGAAAAACGATGATGGTAGTTTCATGACGTCTCCACGCGGAAGTTATCGCCACGCCCCTAGGGGAGGGGCATGTCTCGCTCCGCCCCACCCCGCGAACCTGGCTCCGCCCCGAGCGTAACCCGGATACACACCCACGCTCCCCTTTCACCTCGCCGCCGTTGGCTAACGTGGACGTCCGACCTGCCGGCCGATCGGCGAGTCTATGACGTGGATTGGCGGCGAGGAGTATCGCTGCCAGGCTCGGCCTTTCCTTTGAGAGAGCCATGGGGCGCGTGGGCGCTAGAGAACGGTCGCCAGTGTAGTCCTCGCGGCTCCTGGCCGAGGAGGCCTGTGAGGGCGGTTGCCCGAACGCTGGCTGCGGCGCTATGGCTCCCATGGGCATCCGCCTGTCCCCGCTTGGGGTGGCCGTGTTCTGCCTGCTGGGGCTCGGCGTGCTCTACCACCTCTACTCAGGCTTCCTGGCTGGCCGCTTCAGCCTCTTCGGCCTGGGCGGCGAGCCGGGCAGCAGCAGCGCGGCAGGGCCGGCGCCCGCGGCCGAGGGGGGCACGGTGGACCTGCGCGAGCTGTTGGCTGTGTCTGTCCTGGCCGCGGTCCGCGGTGGCGACGAGGTGAGGCGCGTCCGCGAGAGCAACACCCTTCAGGAGAAATCCAAGGGGAAGACGCGGGAGGGAGCCGACGAGAAGATGACCAACGGCGATGTGCTGTCCAACCGCAAGATGTTCTACCTACTCAAGACTGCCTTCCCCAGCGTGCAGGTGGGTGCCGGCGAGCCGAGCCTGCGAACGTGACTCCGTCCGCGCTTCACTCCTGGCAGCAGCTCCGCGATGTGGGTCCACGGTTTTGCAGACTAGGCATTTCCGACCCTGAAGTTAGGACATACAGGCAGTGGAAAAGCTAAATGACGTTGGCTGTCCGGAGCCCTGTGTTCCAGAGTGGGCTTTAATACCAACTGACTGAGAAAATCAACTTTACCTCCTGTCTTAGCCTCTTTTGTAAAATGGAGGTTGGAGTAGGACCCCCACCCCCTTAGGCCTGTCCTCTAACCTTCCATGATTTCATTTCTGGAAAGGTCGTAAGAACCAAAGTGGCCAAGTCTTTCTGGAGAGCTGTGGCTAAACAGGGCATTTGGGGGCTACTCATGAGTCACTTAGCTGTATACTTAATGGGACCCTTCGTGGAAGTGTTTGGAATTATGCTCGTATTTTCTGGTACTTTATGCAGCACCTTTATCCCAACTCGATTGTGAAAGCCCAGGATTAAGGCGTGTTTTTTAACTGCTTGGGAACGGTTTATTCTGAGATGTGGAGGTAAAGGGGAA